CTAGAATAACGCCCACCTCGCCAGCAAATGACGCTCATGACGTATGCACCCCGACCTACACATGAAGCAAACAGAAGAGACCCAGCCTACAATCCAAACACACTGGTCGAGAAACTCTCCCTACGGTTGAGTTGACCTGGACCGACGGAACCTCCTCTGAAAGACTACTCTGAACAGTTCCAAGAGACTGAAACTAACGCCCTGCCCCCAATTCCAACATAAAACTTTATGTCCTATAAAACTTCACTAGTACGTAACCCGTGTGATGCACGGGGTGTAAAATTTGAAAGAATAATATAACCTCACGTGCATTAGGATCGAAATTGAAATCATTAAAATACATAGGAACATTGTTGAATCATAAAAAGTTCGGTAACAATCATATATTATTAAAAACCTCCTTGTACACAACATTATGAGTTTGATTATTTGGTAACTCCTCATTATCACAAACTAATATTTTCAAAAGAGACAAATCCTAAAAATCAAACTAATATTTTTGGTGAACAAACTAATATTTTAGGATTGGTGAACAAACTAATATTTTAGGATTTCTAGGATTTGTCTCTTTTTTGTGAACAAACTAATATTTTAGGATTGGTTATATGAATAAGGCTACCTGTATTTGGTGTTTTTTTCATTCATTTTTATTCAAACAATCCGATGACTTGTATAATGAAATCTGAATCTTAAGCCGAAATATTTAAAAAAAGAGTTTTTAAAAATTGAAAAGTCAAGGCAATCAGTTCAGATTAATTAAAAGTCAAAGAATATCCGCTCCTTGAAATAAAGACGTGTGCTATCATTAATCAAATATCATGTTATTAATATAGAGTGGTTACCAAAAAATAGAATGCCATAAGGACGCTTCATGGAAATATCAATGAGATAAGATCATAAGAGATTGCTATACATTTTAACGTCAGATAAAATGATTTATGATAATTATGTCGTAATTAATGAATTAATTAGAAGTGTAAAAAGGACATAATTAATGAGAAGTGTGAAAAGGACAAAAACTTACCAATTTTGGAAAATATTTAATGCAAATCCGACATTGACCATAATTTGACCTACTATTTTGGATAAATGTTAATTCTTATTATATAAGTATAGATATGACATGTGTCAAACATTTGCATTTCATACATTAAAATTTTTGCAATTTTTAATTCCAAAATACACTCTTAATGAATTATGAAAGAAAATTAACAAGATATTAGAATCTCATCAATCTGTAAGAAAAATTAATTTTGTACCAATTTTACGGTTCTATTTTTTTTTTTTTTTTAAGTGGAAGACTTAGAAAATTCTTGAAACTATTTTAAGGTGAATGAAAAAATAATTCTAAGTTGTATATGTGGGAAATGTAAGGTTGAAGCAATGAGTTACTTAAACTCAAATTATTAGATTCATAAAACATTCTGTCTTTGACAATTGTTAGAATAATCCAAATGAGACCTGATCATGCAGCTTGTATGTCATAACTCTAGAAGGGTTTGTTGGGGATGAGTAGAAAAAAAGAGAACTTGATTCCGAGTCCGTATGAGCTCGTACGAGCTCGCAGCACGCAGCTGGCTGCGAACACCGAAAGGTTGCAATCCTTGGTGACTATAAGATGCCTTTTGGCTCTAGATGCGTCCGTTCTCGTTCGGGTACGTCCCAAAAGGTGTATTTTGACACTTAAACCTCTTGGAGTTGTTTTCCTACATCTATAAGTACCCACATACATGAAACCATTCACAACTTGAAAAAGGGAAGAGCTCTTGCATTACATTTTCAAATTTCATAAAGTATATTGTATTCTTTGATTTTTTTCGCTGAGACTTGAGAGTTCCAAACAACAGTATTGTTCGCCGAAGGCTTGTATATTTGAAATACCGCTATATACAAGTCGAAACTCGTTGTATCTTGGAGGCGTTTGCCGTTAACCGTGGGTATTTTACGGGGCAGTTTCGTCTTAAGGAGAACGTAATTATTATGAACATCGACTTTGATTTTTGTTTATTTTTTCTTCATTCTCCTTAAGCCGTATTTAGTATATTCACAAACCACACAAACTACACAATTATATCTTTATACCTATATGTTACAAAAAAAAAATGATTATTATGAAAAACTAATGGTGATCAATAAAGACAATAAAAGATCAATTTAATTACAAAGTTAATAATCTGATATCCTTATGTTCATTCAACAGGACAAGAAGAAAAACTTCAGAAAAAAATACCAACGAATTTGAGACGTGCAACTCAAGTCAATTATAAAATTCTATTTTTTTTTGGATTATTTGAATCAATCGATTATGTTTTACAAAGATTAGTTTATTTTAAATCCAGAATTCATAGTTGAAGTAACTGATTTTTTTATTATATTGAGTTTAATATTTAAATTATCCGGCTAACTGTGGACTAGTCCATTTTTACTTAAATAAACCTTAATTTTACTTTACTAGCACATAATGACACCAACAATAGACAAAATGCAACTGAAAGCAAAAATTAAATAGAATTATATGAATCTTAACAAAATTAATAATATAATTTATACCAATATAAATCGAGTTTGTAAAATCGAAAGTTACAGATAAATCACATCTAAACCACATGTATACTGTATCAAAATGTGGACATTTACCACATCTAAATATACCAAACCCAAACGTGTACATGTTTATGACTACAACCTGTAAACCACTCTATATCGGATGATAGAGCCAATCCACTCAATATGTCGGCCTATGCTCCTGTAATACTTCACTTATATGAGTTAAAAATATAAAGAAACAACAAGCCTTGAATTCACTGAAACCTCAACTTACTCGATAATCCAAAAAAAAAAAAAAAAAAAAAAAATGGTCGTAAGTTGAATGCAAAGCAACTAATTTCACAATTGCCTATTGCACATTTATACAATCAATTCACAAGGATTCATACTCTATAAGAAAATGACAGAAATTGAGCATCAACATCATCTGAACTAAATTAAGCACACCGTCGTGGGAACACCGACTTCCAACGAAGAGAATGAAAGGGCGGGTACAGTTGGTCAGTTGGTCGGGGAGGCCACACCGTCCGGTCGCAGACCGTCCAATCCTGTTCTTGCTAATCCCATATATTTTTGTTATTTGTCATGCAGGAGACAATCTCGAGAAGGAAATTTCTTGCGTCGATTAGTTCTCAATAAGTGACATCATTGTTTCTCCATTTTTTTTTCTCTAATTTCTGCCAAATTAGGTGTACCTCACCTTTGCTTTCACAATCTCTTGATAGAAATATAAACTGGTTCATATTGCCATCCTGTATTCTATCATTTTCATAATTGTTGCATATGAGTGTGATTTCATCTTCTTTTGAAGGTGGAAGAGAGCGAACAGTCAGTGAGGAAGAAAAAGGGAATAGAGAGAGAAGCGAGGAAGAAAAATTGAAGAAATAGAAAAAAAAAATCACTTAAATAAGATTGATACACCTAATTTACTCCCCTCAATTAATTTTTCAATTGTGCCCGTCCCTTCATTCTCTTCGTTGGAAGTCGGTGCTCCCACGACGGTGTGC